TGAAGAACCTAGGGGCAGGACAGGAATAAAGACACAGATGTAGAGAATGGACTTGAGGACATGGGGAGGGGGGAAGGGTAAACTGGACAAAATGAGAGAGTGGCATGGACATATGTACACTACCAAATGTAAAATAGATAGCTATTGGGAAGCAGCCGCATAGCACAGGGAGATCAGCTCGGTGCTTTGTGACCGCCTGGAGGGGTGGGATATGGAGGGTGGGAGGGAGACGCAAGAGGGAGGGGATATGGGGATATAAGTATACGTATAGCTGAGTCACTTTGTTATACAGCAGAAACTAACACAGCAATGTAGAGCAATTACACTCCAATAAAGATGTTAAAACAAACAAAAATCCCACTAACTTAGTATACGTGAAGGACACATTTCTAGCTTTATAGTCCTACTGTGAAAAGATCTCATGGTCGCTCAGAGAAAACAACAAACTACTGCAGAATTACAAATAGCACCTTTAAGGGTTTGTTGTTGTTGTTGTTTGTTTATTTTTAATGCACTCCAGCCTGGCAGAGCTGAATGACTCTTTCCTTTAAAAAACATTCATCTAACTCCCAAATATGTATAAAATAAAAGTGGATGGTTTCACTTAGTCTAAATAAAAGACGCATTCCGTGGCTTATACAGCCTATCCCAAAATTTTACTGAGAGCAATTTGAAGACAATGACCTAAAACCCTAATAAAGTCAGAGGGCAGAGGACTCTAACTGTACCAGAAAAACAGCACAAGAGCTGAGACTATGGCTGAAGAAAGCAGCTCCACTCGTGCTATGTGGCCGATAGGCCTCATCAACGTGGGTTGTAGACAGAAGTCTGATAAAAAGCAATTCTGCCTGTCAATACGAGTGAGCAGAACTGACCCTTAAATAGAGGGCAATTTTTTTTAATCAGGTGAACAGTAAGCAGCCAAGTAACAAGATAATTTATGCAGCATCACCTACTCTTTGAGCAAAAAGATCAATCTCTCCCATCACAGAGTTGTTCCTGGTAGCCTCTCTAGGGCAAGAAGCAGGGAGTAAAAATTAGTCCTCAGATCTGTGCCTCAGGTACAACGAAAAGGGACACCCACCCCAAGGACGAAAGATATACCAGTGCCACATGGAAGAGAACCACCTAAAATGTCACAATAAAGCAATGCCCAAGGAACTGTCTCGTGGTCACAGGTCCAGGAAAGATGCCCCAGGACAATGCACTATTTACACAAGTACACAGAGAGCAACTCTGGATGTGTGTATCTATCATTGACAAAAATGCCTTTCACAGTATTTTCTCCTAAGGTGCTTTGCCAGGCTTGTTGAGGAGACTATACATTCTTCAGGATTACGATCCCAGAGCTGATGTTGTCAGGCGCATCTGACTCTCTGAAGAAGTTCATGCCCCTTGTTACAAGAGAATTTTGCAGCCTGTCTAAAGGAAGTTATCAACATACTTCCCAAGATTTACACGAGGAACTGAAAGCTTACAAAGGGATGGAGGTCAGAAGAATAGGTCATTACGTCCACTTAATTAAATCTGAAAATGGATTCTTTGTGCTTCTAATAGACAAGGCACTTCAAGAATCTGACTGTCTAATCACCAAAGTACCTCCAAGTGTTCTCCCCATTGAAACCTAAAGTAAGGTGTTTCTAACAGTAGGGTGGAGGACACAAAAGAGAAGACAATATGTGGAAAAGGAGTAATGCACTAAACGAACACCCCTTCCTGGTGTCTGTACTCCAACACTCCTTGTTGGTGGCAGGTATTTAGAGTGAGGGGAGGTGGTGAGAGGAAGAGGTTAGGAACCTGCAACATTTTATTTTAGTCTCATTTATCAGCAGTCACTGATAGTACTGCTGAAGATGCTCAATGATCATTCAAAAGGCATTCTTCAAAGTGCAACAACCTAAATCTTCCACTAACTGATAAATGGATAAACAGGATATGGTATATTCATACAGTGGAATAGTATTCAGCCAAAAAAATGGAGTACTGATATATACTGCAACCTGGAGGAACCTCGAAAACATTATGCTGAGTGAAAGAAGCCAGACACAAAAGGACACATATCGTATGATTCCATTTACATGAAATGTCCAGAATAGGCAAATCTACTGAGACAGAAAGCACACAAGTGGTGCCCAAGGGCTGGGGGGAGGAGAAGGATGGGAAATGACCGCCAATGGGTATAAGGTTTCTTTTTAGGGTGATGAAACCAGTCTGGAATTAGTGGGTATGGTTGCACGGCCTCTGAATACACTAAAAACCACGGAACTGTCCACTTTAAAATTGTTGAATTCTATGGTATGTGACTTATATCTCAATTTTTGAAAAAGCCATTCTTTAGTTCAGCTTTTCTACGGCCCCTTAAGTCTCCCAGCGCTCAACAGAGGGCCTGCTTCCTGGGACCCCCAGTGGGATACCCTTCAGTGTTGCCCTATTTATGAGATCGAGAGGAAGTGATGTCAAAAAAGATTTAAGTGCTTATACTGTTTTTGTTCCATCACGTATGAGAGGGAAAGGGGAAAATGATTATGCAGCACTTCTAGTGTAATCTTCTGCCACACGGTGAGGGCAATCCATAACACGCCGACCGTGACGAAAGCAGGCTGTCCAGTCATCCTGGGACAGTAGATACCATGCTTCTGTTTTTCTAAAAGGCAGCTCTTGCTGAGCTACTTCTTTACCTACTCGATGACAAACTGCCAACATTAAGACATTCATAGTATTTCAAATAGTCTGGAGACTTTCGCTAGTACATTTTGAAGAAGGTAAGCCATCAATTCTTACCAAGATCCACTCATAATATAGGAACTGTGCTCAGAAACAAAATGACAGATGGTGCTAGAGTACCAATAGCTGATCATTCAAAATAATTAGTTCTGATCAAAAAATGTCTTTTGGTGCCTTTTTGTTACACCATTAACTATGTCACCATGTGTGCAGTGCTGGAATCTTTTGTTTGGTTCAGAAAATAGAACACTCATGCAGAAGTCTGGAAGAAGAATGAATACTAGATTCTAGATTGTTATCTTAAACTTCCTTGGAGTTTTCAAATGGTCCATGTCTGACCTTACTGTGGAGAGACTGTCTGGCAGAGGAAAATGCTTAGGAATTCAATGCACCCACAATTTATCAACATGAGGTATCACCTGCTCATAAACAGTCTTAGGAGGAAATTGTAATTCCATGGAGGGTGGTCATCACATTACCTTGGTCACGCCACACACAGCACATCTGGGAACAATATTATAAAAGCACCAGGGAGAGGAATATTAGAGTATAAGTTTGAACAGCGTCTCTAGAACCAGAGCTTGGTGTGTGTGGGTTGTCGTGTTGAGAATTTTAAGGCGACGAGGAAGCAACAAGGGTGTCTGACCTGTGGGCTCTTTCACTTTCTGTGGAATGACATTTCAAAAGGAGTCAGAGGAAGCCACAGTAAGGATGATCTTTGAGTAGATGTGACCTGTAAGCCTCAGGTGACAAACTTGGAATACTGGCTCTTGGGTTCTCTATCAGCTCAAGTGCCACAATTATGAAAAAGGAATTTCTAGATTCAGACATAAATAATCACAAATCTGTAATAAATAAGTACCATATAGCCTATTCAAGATTATGAATGGAAAGAGAAACATGATTAAAATCTTCAGAGACTATATCTCACAAGAATTAAATTACTTATAAACAAAGTCATACAATCGAACCCATCATTATACATTTGTGGGACCTAGATTAAGACACAGCACAGTTTACGAGAACACAGAGGCATCCACAGTGTGTGCTTCTTAGAGGGTGTATCATTCAGATTAGAAAATGTAGCAGCATAACTCACTTTAATGTTGACCCTGGTTCAGGGGCAAATAAATGTGGCAAGTCCAAAGCCCTCAAACAGTTCAAAGACCCAATTTCAGCCAATATTTTACTTTTCCGCCAGAGACTTACAAAAATTACCTATCAGAAGCAAAACTGACAGGCCAGAGTTTCCTTTCTTCCCATGCATGTTTATTTGGGGACACTAAAACAGAAGGGTAACTAGAGAAACAGAAGCCTAGAAAATCCACAAACTACACAATACTATATAATCATACTGTATATGCATAACCTGTATTTTAAAAATTAAAAATAAACACACACACTCACCCCTAAAAATATCCCAAGTACCGTAAAGGAGACTGAATTCCCCTATAAATTAGATTCCTGGGGTATATTTCAAATGTGTTTTCTCAAAACAATTAGTCAAGAACCCTTTATTCCCAAACCTGGGCCTCTGTATTTCCTAAGAAAAATGAAAATCAACACAAATGGTCTACACTGTAATTTTAAAAACACAGCATTGGGCTTCCCTGGTGGCGCAGTGGTTAAGAATCCACCTGCCAACGCAAGAGACATGGATTTGAGCCCTGGTCCAGGAAGATCCCACATGCTGCGGAGCAACTAAGCCCGTGCGCCACAACTACTGAGCCTGCACCCTAGAGCCAGCAAGCCACAACTACGGAGGCCCATGTGCCATCACTACTGAAGCCCGCACACCTAGAACCCATGCTCCGCAACAAGAGAAGCCACCGCAGTAAGAAGCCCGTGCACTGAAACGAAGAGTAGCCCCTGCTCGCCTCAACTAGAGAAAGCCTGCGCGCAGCAACGAAGACCCAACGCAGTCAAAAATAAATAAATAAATATTTTAAAAAAAATTATCCTTTAAACCCCCCCCCCCAAAAAACAGTATTTCCTTCCACTTCTTTTCCAAGGTAAGCACCTGAGCAGCTACGCAGGTTCTAACAACTGAACAGCTTTCTATTATAACCTAATTATTTGAAAAACATGATACTTTGAACGAATTCCGCTGACAAGGGAGAAGCTGGATACATTTTGTTGTTACTGATTAGTACGTTTTATGGACTTCCTTTATTTCTTCTTCCCTGACAACCACAGTTTTTTGTGTTTTTTTTTACCTAACTAGGTAGAGAAGGATAGTCAGTAGCACTGTCATGCTATAATTAAAGACCAAATACCTTAGTTGCTTCAAGAACTCAACATCAGAGTTGCTGTTAATAAGCTTGATGAACTCTTCATAGGAGGGAGCATAGGTGTAGGCTCTCTTGTGATGTTCATTCACCTGTTCTCTGTGCTCCAACTGGGCAAGCAACATCTGGTTAATGTAATCTGGATTACTAAGTAACTCCACTACTGGCTTTAAGACTGTGGGACAGAGAAGAGAGCACCACTTAAAAAGGGTATTCTCCTTTAAAGGAACCGCTTTCATGTTATATAATTGAAACTACATCTGGGAAACATTTTAAAACTACCCAAATGGGCCACAGACACACACACACACACACACACACACCCACACACAGCTACCCATCCCTCTGGGTTTGCTACTAGTTATGGCTACAACCAAGTGGTCGTTTTAACAAATGAGTCACATGTAAAAGAATAATGAAAGAAAGCCATCTGTTAACAACCCAAGTTGTTAACAAAGCTATCAAAATTAAGTACATTCATTTTTTTCCCTTTGATTTCTTTTATAAGGCTCAATATGTTTTGTCTGCCAAAAGATGAAAGTTAACATTCTCCCAACTGGTGAAACAGACCTCAGGGAGGAAGTTGTTAAAAAAGTCAATGACACTATGACAGATTCATCCCACTAACTTTAGGTTAGAAAGTTCCCCTTTTCTCTGTGGTTAGCTATACCAGCTAATGGGTACAGCTGGCTAACCCAGAGATAATAAATGAGATATTAAATCACGGCACATCAAACACAACGTTATTTGTTTGAGATTCTGAGATAGGAAAAGTTTCTCTCAGATGATATCTTCTTCCATTTTTCCTTATCCTAGCTAAGCATTTCCCTGGATACATTTTTTTTCTAACAACCACATTATTTTGTGGTACAGTCCCTCTTCTATTTATTCTAAGTCACATATAGGCATTGCCAATGAATCCCTGCAGCAAAGGTATTTTAAGCAAACGCATACTGGAGTTTGAGTATAGACAGTCTTTCATAAAGCACGTAACTGGCCTGGGTGACTCAAAATCTATCCCAGGTGGATGCTACACTGTGGTGGGCATAAGGATTGGTTACCTATTACAAACAGCAGAGTGGACTATGTATTTGGTAATATGTTATATGAAACATCTGTTTATCACGTAGGGCCAAGTGATGCCTTCTCTGAGTGACATTTAAACTTGACCTTTTGAAAATACTTTAATTCCCGTATGTCCCACAGTATACAAGGTCTGCATAGGTGTCGTATAAACTGTTATCACATTCGTATGTAGCACATTAGCTTGCACAAGTATCGCATTAGTAATATCAATTAGTTATGAAAGTCTACCTTTTGCTGTGAGAATTTCTGCAAGCATTATGCGTAAGCTGAGAGACTGGACATCCTTTGAGGGAAGAAGACAAAACACCAGAACCCGAGAACACGTTTGTAGAAATCTTACTTCATCATCTGAGTTCCTCAAGAATGCATGCAACACAAAGGGCCTCGGCTGTTCTTCATGTCTGAAAAAAATAAATACATGAAGAGAGGGAAAGGGAAGGAAAGATGTTTCTAGAAACAGCTTGGTTATGTACCATTAGGTAAAAAAAAATTTCAAATGGGCAACGCAACAGTTTTAATAACTATGTCCACTCTTTCACTATATCAACAGTCAGTAATTTTTCTCAACCACAGACTAATCTGGAAAAATGCAAATGCATGGCCTTTCGGGATTTCCAACCTTAAGTAGCATCAACCCTCATACACGACTCCCAAGTCACAGCAACAATCTAGAAAGGGGTGAGCAGCTCTTTAACTAGATTATTTTTAAGTCTCCTAGCTCTCTCCCTAAATGTGATCTATAGCTTCATTTCTCCAAAAAAAAAATAAAAAATCTAACAAAGCATTAAACCAGGGTCACCAGCTCCCGGCAGCGTCCTCCTGTCAGTGTGGATCTGCCACTTGTTTACTCCAACTACTAGCACTTACCTCTGGGTTCTCATGCCGTGAGTGAGCAAAAGGACATTACCCTTCCATACACTTCATACGTGCAGTATTATTTAATCTTCCCACCTACATCTAGAAGCAGGTATCATCATCACCGTTTTATAGATGAGAGTATTAAGGATCTGAATGATCACGTGAACGGTCCAAAGTCACAGAGGTAACAAATGGTAGAAATAACTCTCAGGTCCTGTTCTGTCTGACTCTCAAGTCCAGACTCTTTAACGCTACACCATAATCAGAGATTGTTAAAGTGAAAAGGAAAAAAATTTCAGAGATACAGAAGAAATATATGTGAAAACAAGCATTATTTTGTGCCTTAAACAACATGCCTGTGCTTGACCAGTAAACAAAATGCACAGATTGTAAAAAGGAGGCTGTGAAATTAAAGATGCCATTGATGTAATAGCATAAAAACAATCATCTTTAGGTTTTCCTGAAACATGCTGGACAAGACAGATGGGGCAAAGGAAGAGGAAGCAGAGGCAAAAATTAAGTGTGATCTGGATTGGCTTAAAGCAGCCAACAGAACGTCAGCTGGGAAATGAATACAGGCTGACCGGAAAACTGCCTCACACAACTGCCTAACAGTCAACCAGAGGATGCGTTGCTTTTATTAATGCAATTTATTATTCTCTTGCCTGATAGTGGCCAACTCAGTTGGGTGCTTCCTGGCTGCCACAGGCATTTTGCAGCCAGTGGAAACCTGTACACCAAGGGTGATTTCCAGGGCGAGGGCACTGTTTACCTGGGGCAGGCAAGTACTGAGATAACCATCGAACCTAGGTTTCTGCCACTCTGACTGTGTGATCTGTAGAAGGTGATGCACAATCAGATATTAGATCCCCAGCATTCACCTCCAGGGCACGATCATCTATATGCAAAACACCAGTGACCTACTGGCACTTTTTCAAATATCCATAATGTCAGAGAACAATGGTAGATTTTTTTTCCTTTAATAAGAATCATCAACTAGAAGCTTCTAAGCATAGCCTAAATGTACCCTTGGCACGAGAAAACTGGAATTCCACAGGAAAGGAGCTTCTAAAATGGAATCAATTCTCTGTTTCTATTATTGTGATGCTTACTCATCACAATATCTTTATATTATCCACAAAAGCAGTAATTTCAGAAGCTGGTAAATAAATGTCTCAGTGAAAAATATACTCTCGGGCTTCCCTGGTGGCGCAGTGGTTGAGAGTCTGCATGCCGATGCAGGGGACACGGGTTTGTGCCCCGGGTCCGGGAAGATCCCACATGCCACGGAGCGGCTGGGCCCGTGAGCCATGGCCGCTGAGCCTGCGTGTCCAGAGCCTGTGCTCCGCAACGGGAGAGGCCACGGCAGTGAGAGGCCTGCGTACCGGGGGGAAAAAAAAAGTCTTAGTTTAATATCTAATATGGTAAATATTGACCGATAGGATGAGTGGTAAGCTGGTAAACGTTCAACTGGCTCTCCAAGGGGGAAAAAAAGTTCCGATTTGTAGCATTTGCCGATTTCAAGGAGTAAATACCCACGCCATGGCCAATTACAAACCGACAAGGTGATCATCGCTGACCTCAGAGTTGAGAGATGTGCACCGTCCGCCCCCGCACCCAGCACAAGCTGGCCCTGGGACACCACGGCTCTAACCCGCTTAAACAGAAGCTCTTTCAGGTCCTTGATAACTTTTATGAGTATAGAGGGATTCTGAGACCACGAAATCTGAAAACCGTAGCTCTACAGTAATTTTTTCAAACCGTGGGTTGTGACCCACAAGGAACAAAATAAAATTTAGTCTCAAATGTCATTTTTTTTTAAATGGTAAAGAACAAAAAATATCAAAGTTTTCACAGGTACTGAGCATTATTTGATGAAACTGCATCACAATATAAAATGTATTCCTGGTTTTATTTTTAAAGTTTGCAAAACACACCGGGGGCAGCAAGCTGGAGAAGAACAGGCATATGGCCGCCCTGTGGATTCTGGCCACGTGAACCTGAGCTGCGTGGACATGGGGAGAGGGGACAACTCGTGGGAAGAGGCGGCACAGCCAAGGACAGAGGGCTGCTGCTGCACGACTGAGCGCCCTTGGCAGCCAGGCCCCAGAGCAACCTCACAGGCAGGACAGGGAGTACTTTCTGACAGAGCCGCAAGACAGGGCTTCTTAGAAGAATATGAGTTCCCACCTGCCCGACGAGGATACCTCTGCTTACTCATCCCCTTACGTATCTTGCAAATACTTTCTCTCGTCCCCGACGGCAGAGGCAGAGCAGTGTCAATGAGAAGAGGCCACGGGAGCTGTAGGGAGCCCGCTGCTACTCCAACTGAGTCCAGATGCAAACAGGCAGAAGGCTACTTATTGCAGTAAGACTGCTTTTTATGTCCCAGTTAGAGGTGCTATGAGTCACCATGCTGTCACTCACACAAGAGTAAGACAAACACTTAAAATCCTATCCGCAAACCTAAGAGAATAAGAATTTGTTATGAGCACAGAAAGGCCTTGTTGCAGTCTTCTTCCATAGGCAGAGTCACCTCACAGGCACAAACCTTTCCCGTGTAACAGAGCAAAAGACTAACAAGCCTAAATATTAGCAATTTTCACATTGGAAGACCTTCTCTAATCACAGCCCACATGCTCCAACACTGAGTTCCTTTTAAAAATCAATTTTCAGGATATTGTGACGCAACAGAGCTCTTAACACAGGACTCACACGCACACAAAAATGAACTTCATTTAAACTTTCCTGAAAACTGAAAACTCACTGACACTCTTCCGAGTGTAAAGCGCTATATTTAAATGTTCTGTTTCTAGGCACCCTTAACACTGTCTATATACATTCATGAGAGTGCTGCTGGCTCCATAAAATTCACGTCACTGTTTCAGTTATTTACAAAAGCAAACAAGTCCACAAAGTGATTTTCTATTAAAAATTTTTTTAAGTTTACTCTATCAGAACATTATAATTATCCCCCCCAATATGTCTACATTTCCAGCCGAGTGCCAGCAACAGGATGAATGTGCCCGAGTTTTGTCTTGACTTCAACGACCCTCTCAATAAGGAAAATATTCTACTGTGAATAAAGGTGAAGGGGAGGTTGCTCCCATTATAACAGTTACCTGGCGTCTGCCGCCTTCAGGTCACAGAAGTGAGCGAGTAAAGCTCTCACGACATCACTGCAGACAACTCTGACCATGTCCACGCGGCTCAGCCTGTGGCGCAGCCGTCTGACAACTTCCCAGAAGTCCTCGGAAAGCAGGTGGTAGAGCTGCCCCTCGTCTCTGCTGAGGCTTCCATACCAGGACAGGATGTAGTCTCTGTAACTGTAGTCAAACACTACCAGGAAGAGACAGAGCAACGCGTCAAACTTGGGTGAAAGCAACAGACACCGAGACGGCTTTTCTACTGGAAGCTGGCCACCTGCTATTTAGTAGTCACTTTAAAATATGTGGACCGGGCTTCCCTGGTGGCGCAGTGGTTGAGGGTCTGCCTGCCGATGCACGGGACATGGGTTCGTGCCCCGGTCTGGGAAGATCCCACATACCGCGGAGCGGCTGGGCCCGTGAGTCATGGCCGCTGAACCTGCGCGTCCGGAGCCTGTGCTCCACAATGGGAGAGGCCACAGCAGTGAGAGGTCCGCATACCGCAAAAAAAAAAAAAAAAAAAAAAATGGGGACCTTTTTTTTTTTTGATGTGGACCATTTTTTTTTTTTAAGTCTTTATTGAATTTGTTACAATATTGCTTCTGCTTTATGTTCTGGTGTTTTGGCCGAGAGGCATGTGGGATCTTAGCTCTCCGACCAGGTATCAAACCCACACCCCCTGCACTGGAAGGCAAAGTCTTAACCGCTGGACCGCCAGGGAAGTCCCTCACTGTTTAAAATTTAAAGAGAGCAGAAAACAAAACAAGGGAAGACACACTCTTCCCTGAAGCCTTTCAAAATGAGAGATTCTCATCTAACTAGAATTTTGGGGGTGTGGTGACCATAGGTACTGGATTTTCTCAGATAGCCCAATCTTTAAATATTCTATCTTGGTACCAAACCCTCTGATTTTTTTTTTTTTTTTTATTCTAAATTGCTCTAGACAGTACAAATAGGACCAATGGGTGGAAATCACAAGGAAGTTGTTTTTCCTGTTCAACATAAGGAAGAACCGAATAAAAACATTAAAGCTATTCGAGAGGCTGCCATATTAGATGACGAATGTTCCATCATAAGAAATTTTAAAACAAGCTGAGTATCTAATGGACAAGGATGACATGGAAAAATTACTTCCTGAGACGGTGGGGCTGGATTACATGACCTCCAGGCTTTTATAGCCTTTTACCCTCCTTCTGGGAACCCCGAGGCCAAGCAACAAGAGCATGATGACACACACCTTGCCAGTAAAACACTGCTAATTCGTTCATTTGCAATTCTTTCTCTCATACTCTTGTATCAAACAAAGTTTTCATGCCAAAGAATTTTTAGCTAGTGGCAAATAAATCTGCAAACCAAAACGTTTGGAAAAATAGAAGCATTTTTCCTTTCATTAAAATTTAATTTCAAATTAAAGCAGGAAATTAAGAGCAATTATAAGAGACTTAATCTCTAAAAATAAGATCTTTTCAGCTAAAAGATTTATGTGAAGGGCACATTCACCTACATAATGTCTCACTACATTTGTTAACCACACTGCATACTCTAATTATTACACACCTAAAATACTCCTCTGATAATAGGTTTTGGTGAGAAATGGATAAAAATAAATACTGACAAAAATCTGTACTCAGTAATAGAGATATATGTTAGCCACAGGCATATCTTCCATCAATAGCTCATCAGTACCCCTCTTCAAACTAAGTATCATAAAAATATAACAAATATAAAAAGTACAAAACAAAGCCATGATTCTAAGTATGTATTACCTAACTACATACACTCACCTACACAAGTACACATATGAACAAAATGTTTTTAAATATACCTTCTAGGTCAATTCAAGGAGACAGAAATTCGTGATCATAAAATCATTTTATGGTTTTCATTAAGAAATAAGCGTAAGAAATGTAACAAACCACAGTGAGAAGTGAAAGAACACTTATTCTCACTGCCAAGCAAAGAGATTTTCTTCTAAAGGCATAACAGCCAACAAAAATTCAGATGCTATTATCACTCAAATACATCTAATTTCTAGGACGGCTCTCAAAGAAATAAGTAGGTAAGTAGGAATCACTGAAGATTAGAGAGAATGAAATAACATGATTAGAACTTTTCAGCTTTAGTTAGATTAACCTGAAAAGAGGATTTAGGGTAACAAAGTAGAGAATTACTAGAGGTGAAGAGACCAGTTAAAAAGCTACCATGTAGTCTAGAAACTGTGATGCTAGGTTAAGTCTCTATCTATAAATATTCAGAACAAGGAATGACTCAACCTAAGTAAACAGTATGAGAGAGAAGCTCCGAGAGAGCCATTTTCCATCTCTGCCTTCTCCCCAGGATAACTCAGGGTGCAATCTTCCATGCCCAAGAGGTAGAGCCCCGCAGGTTGTAAATGTCCATGACCTGAGTCTCTTGGCACAAAGAAACAGTCCGCATTCCACCAGGAACTGCCCCAACGATAATGATAAGAACAACAATTTCATTGATCATATAGATGGCCCTTTACGGTGTACAAAGTTTTCAAAAATGCAATTAATAATTACTCTCTGTGTGCAGAACGAAAGTCATCTTCTGGGAAGATTTTGAGGTTATTAGGTTATGTCACTGGTTGATCTATTCATTCATTCAACAAAAATGGACAGATATTTCATACCACTAGGTAAAGAGTCATGAATGAGGGACTTCTCTGGTGGCACAGTGGGTAAGAATCCACCTGCCAATGCAGGGGACACGGGTTCGAGCCCTGGTCCGGAAAGATCACACATGCGCGGAGCAACTAAGCCCGTGCACCACAATCACTGAGCCTGCGCTCTACAGCCTGCGAGCCACAACTACTGAGCCCATGTGCTACAACTACTGAGCCCGTGCGCCTAGAGCCTGTGCTCCACAATGAGAGAAGGCACTGCAATGAGAAGCCCACACACCACAACGAAGAGTAGCCCCTGCTCGCCGCAACTACAGAAAGCCCGCGTGCAGCTACGAAGACCCAACACAGCAAGAAAGAAAGAGAGGGGAAGGGGGGGGAGGGAGGGAGGGAGGGAGGGAAGGAAGGAAGGAAGGAAGGAAGGAAGGAAGGAAGAGTGGGTCATGAACAAGATAAGTTGAGCCTATGGGGAAGGGGAAGTCATGCTCTTTGAGGTACTAGCTCTGCTTCCGCTGTGTCAGCATCTAATCCTTGGACAGTCTAAGTAGTCTGTCTACTTAGAGTAGTCCAGGTCTACTGAGCAAACAAACAGCAGGTACGCAATAATTACTGAATTAAATTCTCTGGCCCACATTAGTGAGATAATTCAGGGGAGCCTAGTGAAAATTAGGCTATGGATCTAGTGAGATTTAATAGCAAGTCAAAAAGATTTTTAAAAGTCTATCTTCTGGGCTTCCCTGGTGGCGCAGTGGTTGAGAGTCCGCCTGCCGATGCTGGGGACACGGGTTCGTGCCCCGGTCCGGGAAGATCCCACATGCCGCGGAGCGGCTGGGCCCGTGAGCCATGGCCGCTGGGCCTGCGCATCTGGAGCCTGTGCTCCGCAACGGGAGAGGCCCGCATACCGCAAAAACAAAACAAACAAACAAAAAAGTCTATCTTCTGTCAGTTTTCTAGGAAATGTAACTTCAGGAGAAAACCTTTTAAGGGTGTCTGGTATAGCTGCCAGTTCTCTCCTAACTTCATATTTAACACCATGTATTTTCATCTGAAAAACCTCAGACATTTTTTCCTGTACATATAACTGAAATTATCAGTTTTTAGAAATTTAATTTTTAAAATATCTTTTTAAACTTTAATTTGATCAAAATATATTATTCTCTTTTAAACTTTAATATTTGTAATTACACTTACTTGTCCCCATTTCTAGACAGATAATATTGTACCCGCCACAATCCCCTTTCCAATCATCCTTAATACAAGTTTCACGTGAATGTCCTTCATCCTTTTATAAGGTTGACTGATATCCCTAAATTTGGTTAACTGGTTTGTCCATGAGCGAGCCTGAGTGTACTCATCCCCAACGCACCTTCTCTAGTTTATATCTAAAAGAAACAAAGTTTCCTGATACCTACTTTAGGTAACAGAGAGCAGATCCTTGCTTCCTATCCTGGAACTAGCTCCACTTAGCTGGGTAGTTTCATGTGACCTGCAAATTCCTACTTAGTCAATGTTTAGATCCCATCCATTTAACTAAAATATGGATGTATTTATTAAGTCTTCAAGTAAAAATTCATGAAGAAAAAATTCAAATGCAACATGTAGACAAGGATAGATAAATTTGCTAGGAATGATTATTTTCCTTTTAGAACATAATGAATTGCTTCCCATGGTAATTATATATCCTAACTTAATCCTTACCTTCTTTCAGAGCCTTGTCCATGTTATGAGAAATGACTACCCTTCTAGACTGAACTGACTCGTGTGAGTTTCCACACACAGGACTCTGAAATGGAAGAAGAAGAAGAAAAAATGCATATTACTGAATGAATAAATCATACATAAAAATAAAACCAAAGGTATGAAAAACCATTTAAACAGGCACTAAAATATTGCTTAACAGATTATAAAGTTCTTCTGGAAAAGTAAATAAATGCTTAAGGTTAAGAAATTTTTGAAAAAGAAGAATTAAGGAAGGATTTTCCCTACCGGATATCAAAACAGTATGATATCCGTGTAGGAATAAACAAATCAACAGAATGGTAGAAAGTACAAAAACACCTATATATAGATACATATCTATATATGAGAATTAAGAACATAATGAGAAAGAATTTGAAATCTGTGAGGAAAACAGACGACTCAATAAGTGGTGTTGGGACAATCTGATATTCATGTGGCAAAAAAGATTAGAGTCTTATCTCACACTTCATATATAAATAACTCCAAAGTGATTAAAACGCTAAATATTTTTTTCAACTAAAAAAGCATTTAAAGGAAACAAGGGAGACGCTGTGTTGAATCCTGGGATGGAGAAGATTTCTCTAAAATAAGACACAAAGTATAAGAGTTATTTTAAATGCACTACCTTCACTCAGCAATTCCACTCCTAGGGATCTAGCCAGCATAAAATACCTCCACGTTGCAAAAAAGTATATATACCAAGAATTTCACTGCTATGTTGATTGTAAGGGCAAAAAACTGGAAATAGCCCAAGTGCATATCAATAGCCAAAGAGTTAAATTATGATATGCTCATATTTTACAATATAATGCAACCCTTAAAAGGAATGAATTAGGGATACATATGCCTTCATGGAAAGTTTTCCACGATGGAAAATGCTTGGAAGCACACATGCTAAACTATTAAAAGTGGTTTCCTTTAATAGGCAGAGGCATAGGATTTTAACTTCTTCCTCCACATGTGTCTCTGTAACAGTAAATTTTAAGTTTTTAATTATAAAAAGATACTAGCTGGCAAAAACAAAAAACACAGAGAGAGGCAATGTATCAGATTTAAATCCCACTATCTGGCTAGTAAGATGACATTAAAGAGGAAAACTTTTAATTGATCACATACCAAAGTGATCAAAAGCATGTATAATGTAACTGGGCCACTTATTGGTTTCAGAGCAATAAAAAAAAGTTACTAGTAGTGGAACATAGAGCACTTCTTTAGGCATGTGAAATATTACAAGTGCTTTACTAGCACCACCACAGTCACTCAGGAGATCTAAATGGCTCATGTTAGCATCACCTTCATCCAGTAAATGAGCATGAGGAAATCCCTTTGTTCTTGGGCAGACCACCCCAACACAGCTGCAAACAACCCCATGGCCCTGGACCACCCGACCATGAGCAGAGAATTTCTAGTCCTTGGCTTAGTTTCACACTACCCATGGGTCAAATGCCAAGAGTATCAACCATTTTTGTGATCACTGTTATTAAAAAACAAAAGCCATAGTCTTTTTCAATAAATTTACTTATTTATTTATTTTTGGCTGCATTGGGTCTTCATTGCTGCGCACGGGCTTTCTCTAGTTGCAGTGAGCGGGGGCTACTCTTCGTTGCGGTGCGGGGGCTTCTCATTGCGGTGGCTTCTCTTGTTGTGGAGCACGGCCTCTAGGCACGCGGGCTTCAGTAGTGGTGGCACATGGGCTCAGCAGTTGTGGTTCGGGGGCTCTAGAGCACAGGCTCAGTAGTTGTAGCGCACGGGCTTAGCTGCTCCGCAGCATGTGGGATCTTCCCGGACCAGGGCTCCAACTTCTGTCCCCTGGCAGGCGGATTCTTAACCACTGTGCCACCAGGGAAGTCCCAAATGCCATAGTCTTGAGATTCCTTAGCTGAAACACTTTTAAAAGCCTCAAGAATCCCTTCATGCTACAAATTAACATATAACATTCAACACTTTCCCAAGGAATCATTTTAAAAAAAAAAAACTTTAATCATACATAATCCTATAGACAAAAGCCACTTTATTCCTAAAAGAAATATACTCTCATGCGTTTAAAACCATTTTCTAGTCTCTTGAGTAGCTTGTTATAAAATTAAGGGGTCAGTACATTTTACTGCAATTTAAAAAATTTTAGTTTGTGAAAGAAAAAAGTTAAAGAGATAAGAAGAATTTTTAAATTCTAGTGCTTTTTAGAACATCAGGCAGATATTTCAACAACTTATGAACTGGGGACAAAATTTTAATTGAGTTAATACTTTTAGAGCGCTATACTGATAAATAACTTTAATCACAACTTCTCAAGTCTTCGGCAGTCTGTTATAGCTTCCCAAATATAGGTATGGCAGTTTTCAGGCACAGTACTAACCGGATGATGAAACCACAGCCAAACAACGCTTAATCGAGAAGTTCCTGAATTTGGGTTCTTAAAATGGAAACTGTCTTTAAGGGCTGGGAGAGAAGCAGGTGTGAATACGACAGCACATGCACATCTAAGCATATTGTGAGCTCCTGTGTCTATCATTACAACTTCCTTCAAAACAGTTTCTTACTTTTTATCTTTTCTTTCTCTCCCTAGTTATGGCTTTACTAATTATTGCCACCTGTCTGCATATTTCTTTTCTCTCTCTGCTTCATACTTAGATGTAATACCTACAATAAACATGTTTGTCACTACTCACTGTATCTGAATTAGACCGTTACTCTCTTTAATTTAAAAAGCTTATATGAGAATAACGTTTTCTATGTTGGCTCTTTACCTAAAAGCGCTATTATTTTTTCCATCTCATTTTCCAAACTGATTTTGGATTTCCCTGCACCCCATCCCTCAGGGGGTCACTGGCCCTTAACAGAAAGAAAAAACAGTTCTTCAGCCCTGTCCCATCCTCACAGCCTGATGGCGAGTCTGTAAGTAAGGAGAACAGGAAGATAAAAGAAAGCATCACGGGCCCAAAGTAACTGGGTAACCATGCATGGAAATTCCTTTTTTAAGGATTTAACATTTATGGAGCCAGAATCTCCTCATGACTAAACTACTACATGAGTGTAGATTAGTCACTACATACTCCTTTTCTTTCAGGTCACAGAGATGGAATTCACTAATTAATCATTATCCCGAGGTGGAGAAAGAGAGACAGAAGGGGAGGAAGGGAAAGAAAGGGAGAAGGCCGGCACTAAAACAGAGGCACATGTGCATTCCTGTGGCCCAGAGGGCAGTGGAGCAAAACCTGTCTTCATTCTCCTTCCATTTATAGGTTTGAAAAAAGGAACTCCACACTGATAGAGACTTCCCCAAAAGATGTGTTACAGCAAACGCTAACCTCCCTCTCTGCACTACGCAGGTCCCTCCCATCCCTCAGGGAAAGCCTGCCTCTTCCTGACAACCACTTTCCTAAGAATGCTGGTTTTAGGAAAGGTGAGAGAAAAATGGGCATCCTTCTCCCTCTGTCACAAAGGGTAAGTGACAGAAGTCTTCACTACTCGATCCAGAACTGAGGACTTCGAGTACAGTCTGAGCAGTCCACCCTCATCTGATGTTTGGCCTCCATATCCCAATATTAAGATAGATGGGAGTTTGGTGAACCAGAACCCCTGCCATGTAAAAAATACACCTTATTTTTTACTTAATTAAAATAAATGAAACCTGTCTTCATTTTAAGATGTAAACCTAGCTTAGAACCAACTTGTCAAGATCACTTTTAATCACTCAGTGAGTTCCCTGGGGAGAGAAAGTGAGCAGCCTCAACATATAATTGCTCATTTTGAAAACGTTTTCCAGGCTTCCCTGGTGGCGCAGTGGTTAAGAATCCGCCTGCCAATACAGGGGACATGGGTTCGAGCCCTGGTCCAGGAAGATTCCACATGCACGGAGCAACTAAGCCCATGCACCACAACTACTGAGCCTGAGCTCTAGAGCCCACCAGGCACAACTACTGAGGCCGTGAGCCACAACTACTGAATCTAGCGTGCCTAGAGCCCATGGTCCACAACAAGAGAAGCCCGCGCACCACCGCTCGCCACAACTAGAGAAAGCCCGCGCACAGCAATGAAGACCCAACACAGCCAAAAACTAAATAAATAAAAACCAAAGAAAACGTTTTCCAAAGACAGGGCAAAACCTGAAAGCTCTTCTCTGATATATGATTCTCAGCAACAAGGAACAGATGCCATATCAACAAACCCTTTCCTGAGTACATATCAGCTTTCTGTTTACTCCTGAACGTCAGCTGTTAGTCTACAGCCATGATACACTCAAACTGTCTTTGTGTCAGAGTAAAGACACCCTCTCCTGAGGGAACAACATTCGGAGAGAATCCACTTGGAGAGACCTGGGTACTCTGACACCATTAGCAACTAGACAACCAGGAATGATCTGGAATCCAGCTGAGACATACACCTCATTTTCCACTGTTTACAAGGATGACATTGCTTACTGTGTTCCTTGCTGTGGGAGCAGAGTTGGGGCTACAACAGCCAATCCATGACTGGTAATTCCTTTCATGCCTATTACCTGAGCTACTCAAATAAACAAGTGTTTCTCTCCTTTGCTATACACTTCAACAATAATAAAAAAAATTATTTATTTTGGTTTATTTTAAAAGGAAAAGCAATTGAAGGAGTGATGGGTATAATTTCCTGTAAAGCTACTGAAAGAGTGACTTATGTTAGGAAAACAAACACAAACCCCCAATCATCATTATCCACATGGAGTTGTCACGTGGCCGAGTGTTTCCAAGTATTTTCAGCATCTGACAGTCTACCAGGATCTCATGACTAATATTCTCATTCTTAAACTATGTTATTCTCAAAACCATGGCTCCTTTCAAACCAACCATATTCTGCCTCCTCCTCAAAAAATAATTTAATCAAAACCAAAGAAACAAAGGACCCACACATATCCCTTCTGAGGAAGATAGGAAGACCCTGACGAAAGGCTGTGACATGAATGACAGCAGTCATGTCAGAATGGAAGCCGAGTGGCCATCGTGAGGAATTATGAGGGCTCCCAAGTCCAACAGGACTTCTTACTAATGGTAGGTCCTTGTCGCAGCCACT